ATGGAACCTTCTCAAGAATAGACCACATACTGGGTCACAAATCAGGACTCAACCGATACCAAAAGACTAAGATTATTCCCTGCATATTCTCAGATCACAGTGCTTTGAAACTGGAGCTCAATCACAAGGAAAAGTTTGGAAGGAACTCAAACACCTGGAAGCTAAAGACCACCTTGCTTAAGAATGCTTGGATCAACCAGGAGATCAAAGAAGAAATTAAACAATTCATGGACACCAGCGAGAATGAAGATACTTCAGTCCAAAACCTATGGGATACGGCAAAGGCGGTCATAAGGGGGAAATACATAGCCATCCAAGCCTCCCTCAAGAAAATTGAAAAATCCAGAATACACCAGCTGTCTCTACACCTTAAAGAACTGGAGAATCAACAACAAATTAAACCAACTCCACACATAAGGAGGGAAATAATCAAGATTAGAGCAGAGATCAATGAGGTAGAAACTGGAGATAGAACGTATCAATGAAACTAGGAGCTGGTTTTTTGAAAGAATCAATAAGATTGATAAACCAGTGGCCACAATAATCCAAAAGAAAAGAGAGAAAGCTCAAATTAATAAAATTATGAATGAAAAGGGAGAGATCACAACTAACACCAAGGAAGTAGAAACAATCATCAGAAGTTATTATCAACAGTTATATGCCAATAAGTTAAGCAACCTAGATGAAATGGATGCATTCCTGGAAAACTATAAACTCCCAAAATTGAACCAGGAAGAAATTGACAACCTGAATAGACTGTTATCTAGTAACGAGATTGAAGCAGTGATCAAAAACCTCCCAAAAAACAAGAGCCCAGGACCTGATGGATTTCCTGGGGAATTCTACCAAACTTTCAAAGAAGAAATAACACCTATTCTCCTGAAGCTGTTTCAAAAAATTGAAGCAGAAGGAAAACTTCCAGACTCTGTTTATGAAGCCAGCATTACACTGATCCCCAAACCAGGCAAAGACCACACCAAAAAAGAGAATTTCAGACCAATATCACTGATGAATATGGATGCTAAGATTCTCAACAAGATCCTAGCAAACAGGATCCAACAGCACGTTAAAAAGATTATCCACCATGACCAGGTGGGATTCATCCCTGGGTTACAAGGATGGTTCAACATTTGCAAATCAATCAATGTGATAGAACAAATCAATAAGAGGAGAGAAGAACCACATGGTCCTCTCAATTGATGCAGAAAAAGCATTTGACAAAATCCAGCATCCATTCCTGATTAAAACGCTTCAAAGTATAGGGATAGAGGGAACATTCCTGAACTTCATAAAATCTAACTATGAAAGACCCACAGCAAATATCATCCTCAATGGGAAAAAGCTCACAGCCTTCCCGTTGAGATCAGGAACACGGCAAGGATGTCCACTCTCACCACTCTTGTTCAATTTAGTACTAGAAGTCCTAGCAACAGCAATCAGACAACAAAGAGAAATAAAAGATATCCAAATTGGCAATGAATAAACATATACATAGTATACTATCCAGCTTATATCCATATATTCATAGCAATACTGTTCATAAGAGCCAAAAACTAGAAATAATCCAATGTTCATCCAAATGTCCATAAAATAGAAATAATGTTAAATGTAGAAAAAAATTTTAGGAGAACTGCCTTCATGAACTCTGATCTATAAACATGCTGTGCCATTTCATTTGCTTTTTTTAGCTGATCTTTAATTTCACTCCAATGTTTTGGAGTTTTGGAAAGGGAAATATATTTCATACAACAGAATACTAACTTGTCAATAAAGAGGAATGAAGTACTAATACATAAAACAACATGGATAGATCTCAAAAATATTATTTTAAGAGAAAGAAGCCAGACACAAAAGACTATATATTATATGAATCTATTCACATGAAATTTCTAGAAAAGGCAAAGAGAGAAAATAGATCTGTGGTTGTTGGGGATGGGAAGTGGGCATAAGGAATGCTGGTAGATGACCATTAAGGAAATTTTTGGGTCATGGCAGTATCACAAATTGAATTGTGAGGATGGTTCACAACTGCATAAATTTTCTAGAAATCATTTAACTACAATTACAATGGTGAATTTTGTGAAATGCAAATTATGCCTCACTGAAACTATTACTGTAAGGGAAGAAGAGAAGAATGACTCTGGCTTTCTTACAAGAACTATGTTTCAGAGTAAACAAATTGCTAATAAAGAAGATTTCTTTTATAGAGGAATTCCAGCTAATAAATCCAGAAAGTGACAATATTAGGAAAATCACACTTTGTAATCCCTACTTAAAAGATGGATCTCAAAGTTACTTGAGGAAAGACTGATGAGGAACTTTTCAATGAAGAATCAGGCTGGTGCTGCCTGGAGCTAAATCATCAATTTTAACATCACTAAACTTAAGACCATCAGACTCATATACGACTTGATATTTTACAAGTGCACTGCATCAACTCTGAAGGATTCTTGCCGAAAAAATAAAATAAGCCTGGATCTAATCAAACCTCTAGATCTAATTATCAGTTTACATAATACAGTAATAAACAACTCAACAGCCCTTTAAGGAAGCAATCAGTCAAATCCAAGTTAAAGGATATTCTAAAGGACTTGGTTTTTCTAGTAAATTCACAGCGGTAAAGGGGTGCCTGGCTGGCTCAGCCGGTGGAGCGTGTGACTCTTGACGTTGGGGTTGTAGGTTTGAGCCCCACAATGGCTGTGCAGATTACTTAAAAATAAAATCTTAAAAAAAAAAAGTGAGGGGCACAAATACAGAGAAAAAGATTCAAGAGGTAAATGCTGATACATAGAGTATGAACTATACCTTGATTGGATTCTGATTTTAGCAAACCAACTGTAAAAAGATGTTTTGGTGACAAGTGGGGAAATCTTCATAATGACTACATATTTGATATTATTAAGAAATTATTAATTTTCTTGCATGATACCAGCATAGTGGTATGCGTGTATGTGTATCTAGAATACTTGTGGTAAAATGATGTAAAGATTTGCTTTTAAAGATACCCACAATTACTTTAAGTGGCAGAGTGCACATGTAATAAGACTGATAATATGTTGAAAATTGTTGAAGCTGGACAATAGGTATATTGGACTTCATTGTCCCATTCTCACCACTCTTAGTATGTTTTTAATTTTTCATAGTAATACGGTGGGTGGACAATGAAAGACTGTAAACCTAAAAGAAAAAAAGTAAAAGAAAAAGGGGAGCCACAGCTCACAAGAGAGATCCAAGATAAGGACTGACATGTAAGTCTTCAGAAGATAGATAGAGAATACATGAAGCCTAGTCTTTGGAGAGCAGAATATAAGGAGAAAAATAGAAAATAAATACATAAAAAGAGACCAGAGAAGTAAAGCCAGTGGAATAGTAATATTTAAAGACAGAGCAGAGAAAGAGGAGTTTGAGAAAGATACCAAAAAGTAGAATCAGTAAAATGGGAAAAGACCTAAGAGAAAAACTAAATCAGGAAAAGCAAGGCAAGAAAGTTTCCAAATAATAATAACCACAATAATAACCACTAAGTACTCTTCTTATAGTCCCCAAATTTCAAATCAAATAGAAAAAAAGGGGTACCTGTGTAGTTCAGTCAGTTAAGCATTCAACTCTTGTTTCGGTCCAGGTCCTCCTGATCTCACAGTCTGTGAGACTGGGCCCTGTATGGGGGCCTGAGCTCAGCAAGAGTTTACTTGAATATTCTCTCCCTCTGTCCCTTCCCCCGCTCCCACTCTCCCACTCTCCTTCTCTTTCTCTCTCTCAAATAAATAAATCAATCTTCAAAAAACCCACAAATATTAAATAAAGAATTATGTTTTGAACAAAAGAATTTCAGAATGAAATAATTATCTCATATTTAGATGAGATAATACTAGATATTAGATAAAATTTAGATATTTAGATATCAGAATTCATATTTTCTAAGATACACAACACAATTTCCCAGTTACTGAAGATGTACAAGAAATATTAACATTTATTTAATGTTAGTTTTAAAAAAGGCATTTACCTACTAATACAAAATTGCCGCCTACCTAATCTACCACAGTGAAAGACAGAATATCAAGCACTAGAACAACTACAAAAAAAAAAAATAATAATAAGGTATTGATGCTGGCCATAAAGAGTTCTCTGGACAAGAATCATTAAACTGTATAATTCACAAAGACAAGACAGTAAGCTGGCCCAATTTCTCCCCATATGCCCAGATTCCAGCATGGTGCTGGGTTCCATGTTTCTACAAGGCTGGAATCCCAGTGGGGTGCAGGGGGGAAGAACAGGTGACATTGATGATGCCCATTATTGTTGATGTTTTGAACCACAGATATTTACTAGACCAAACTGGTGATCTCAGATCCCTCTCTAATCACAAGAATAAATAACAGAGCTTTTCATTTCATACCCAGAGCTTGAGTAACTTATTCCCAAGTATATATACAGCTTTGCATTGCTGCTCTCAAAAATAGTTGTATCTTTTTATAGTTGATTCCTGGTACTTTGAGGAATTTACTATTACTCACAGTCTTGAAAATGTCACTTCAAACAATTTACCAACATATTAGATGCAATACAAAATGCAAATCATATATAATTTTAAGCTGCCATGACTTCAATCTTCTATTATTTACTCTATTAATTTGTAATACACTGGGGTTAAAGACATACGCTTGTTTGCAGGGCAAAGCCCCACCCAACGTGGATCTCTATTTTTACATCAAAAACACTTCATATCATCTAAATCAATATAAGGTTCAAGTAAGTCTTTTTGATACCCACAGACCTAACACAGAAAAAGCAAAACCTCTCAGCCTCTGTATAGCATAAGTATATTTTATTATTTCCAGGTATATTCTGAAAAATGTTTTTAAAAAATTGTTTTAAAATTATCAACTCAAGATTTTTTTAAATTCTTAGTAGACTCTTTTTAACTTTTACCTAACCCAAGATTAAGAAGCATAATTCTAAAATGTCCTAGAATCAGGAATTAAAAGTTAAAGACTTACATTCAAGCTGTGCAACCACATCTCCAGGGTCAACTGCTTCAGGGAACACCTACAGAGGGAGAGCAGGGAGGGAGGCAAGGTGGAGAGGAGGAAATGAGAGGAATATACACATAAAACAACACTCTCTGTGTTTTCCCTCTCATTCCGCAAATACTCCTTTCCCAACCAAAGAAACTTTTGACATTATTGAAGACTGTCACTTCGTCTCTGCTTCTCTACGTCTCTGCATCTCTGCATGATCACTATGGAGGATTTGACAATTATATATTTCGGCTGACCGACGCTCCCTCTCCCACTTCACCCGCGCTTGATCTTGACCTCCAGTTCCTCCCCTGCTTGTTTCCATGGTCATACTGGCCTTCTTCGTGCTCCTGCAACTCATCAAACTTATTCCCAACAAGATGCCTCTCTATTTGCTATTCCTCTGCTTTGAATACTTTTCCCCTAGACCTTTGAATAACTGCTAACTGTCTCAGAATTCAGGTTCAGCTTAAATGTTACTGCCTTCTCTATCCTTTAAATTAGATAATCCCCCTAATCACTCAGCCCCTCCCTGTCCCCCTGCCTTCCCTTTACTTCTTTCATGACACTTACCACTATCTAAAATTGCATTATTCCTGTGTTTACTTGATTATTTTCTGTTTCTCATATTACAATGAAAGCTCTGAGAGAGGAGGCTGTTTGTCATGTTTACCCAGTGCCTATAGAACAGTGCATGGAACAGAGCTAGACATGGGTAATTCCTTGCAGAAGAAAAGGAAAAGGAAGGAAGGAAGGAAAGAAGGAAATACAAAAGTGAGGAATATGACTAGTAATAACCAGAAGCAGCAGTTTCAGGGAAAAATTGAAAAGAAACTCATAGAATGAAGTACCATAAGATAGCCATTGTAAATTTTTACCTATTAATGTCTCCTCTCTCTTTTTTATAAAAATTATTTAATACTCAGATGCTCTATTTTAAATAAAGCCCACTAAATAAAGCCCACTAACAATTTTAGAAATAAACTGATTCATCCTGAAAAAGAGGCAACTGATTCAATGCATAAATAATGAATATTTATTTTCAGATTTAAATTACAAATCTCCTCTTGAATAAACCAAAGTATATAGTCAGCAACAATAATTTGTGTTCTGGGTTTTTATTAAAAATTCAGAAGTACTCTGATTATTTGTAAATATTTGATCTGATATTTGAACTCACCTTTTCAAACACCATTCTGGCATTGAAGACCAGTGGAAAATTGGCTGGGACACATTGTGTCTTTTTGTATTGACCAAACACACAGATGCTAAGATAGATGTCCTCCTTGTCTTTCAGCACCACTCCTGGACAAGTTACCTGAATGAAATTAGATAGAGAGATGTAACTGCTTTACGAATCCCCTGAACTATCCTACTAAAATAATTTACAAGGCATTACATAAAACCACTAGTCTGCTAAGGTAATAAAATTACGCTCAAATAAAAAAAGGAGAGAGAGATTCCCATGTTTGCAGAGTTAAATGAAATGCCTTTATAACTTCATCCCTCTGAGAAATCTATGATTTTCCATTTGGTTCTTTGTGCCACATTTGAAGCTCTGTGTACTGGCTCTTGGGACAGACACGAACAGTTTTAAACAGTCAGCCTTAGGCACCCACTTTATGCTGAATGCTGACATAAACTTACTCAGCATCATTTAATCACAGAGGATTTAGACTCAGCAGAAACACAGCACTATCCTAGAGGACACACACAAAAACTAGCGATAAAAAGCACAAATCTGACCTGTACCATACTAAATAGCAGCCCATACACACCCTCATCAAAAGCAATATGATAAAGTTTCAAAGACAGTGAATTTTAAGTTTCTAGCCCAATGAAATTTTTTAAATATGAAATTGCATGTAATTAGCCTCACATTGACAGAAAGTATAGGCATAAAATATAGGGTTTCTAAAAACTACATGGCACAGTCTCCCCAGTCCCTGCCATATTTCACTGGCAGTGAAATTTGAATCCAACTTACCCACATAATAATATTTCTTAATGGCTCCCCAATAATCCAAAGTATTTTTTATTATCCTCTGAACACACACATTACATTGTCCCATTATCTGGATGATTATTCAACACTCCATTCCATCTCCTCCTCATTTACACTCACCACTTCCCAAGGCTTACATCAATCAACTGCATCTCCTACACAAAACTTCTCTTGACTCACCAGCTATCATTATTCAATTCAATCTAATCCAAACATTTACCACGAATTTACTATATTCAAGTAAATACATTTTAGATTCTCATAACATTTTGTAGTTCTCTTAAGGCCCAATTATTGTCTCCACACATTTTAATTAAGTGGATACATCTCATCTTTTTAAATTATAATTGCCGAGGACAGAAACTTTATTTTCCTCATTAATATATCCAAAACCACAGACTTTGGTATTTAGGAGAAGCTTAGAGATTATCAAGTACAGCTTCATATTTTTTATATATGATAACAACAGAGCCCCAAGAAAGTATAGGTGATACACTTATTTAAAATGACACAGTAAATGAATGAATACAAAACATTCAAAAGTGCTTAGAAAAGTGCCTAATAGAGCATTCAACCAATACTAGCTATAGCTATTGTTAGACTGAAAATAATTATCATTTGTCATCTCAACACATTCCTGCACTGAATAAATGACTAAGACTTCATGTCTCTTTGTACATAGCAGCTAAGATTATTTTCTGTGCCAGATATTTTGACTCCATCTCCCTCTTATTGTTTTCCACTTCTGTCCTAATATATTCCCCCACTGATCATTAAAATCTATTAAAATCCATGTCCTCAGCAAATTTCATGTTGCCCATCACCTTCAATTCTTACTGTGCCTCATTAAAATAAAATCTGTTAGAATCCCTCTAATTCCACAGTACCCAATGTGGTATCTGAAAGCCACTTATGCCTATAGTTGTGACTAGTCCAAAATTTAGATAGATACTGAGTGTAAAATAAAAGATTTTGAAGATTTTGAAGACTTATTCAAAAAGATTTTGAAGACTCATTACAAAATCAGCATAAAATATCTCATTAATAACTAATGCCTTGAATATATTGATCTAAATAAAATTATTATTAAAATTAATTTATCTACTTCTTTTAACTTTTTAAAATGTAGCTGGTAAAAAATTTAAATTTACATCCTTGGTTCAAATTTGTCACTTACATTCTATTTCTATTGAGTAGCACAGCTGCTCTAATTGTCCTACTAGAAACTACTAACTCTCTTTCCAATGTGTAATATATGCGAGAAAGCATGAGTTTTTCTCATCCACAATTCTACAAATTCTGCCATGCTTTAATACAACACTGAGCAGCTTTCCAAAGAGAAATCAGGAAAGGAGGATGGGTAAAGAAAATCAGATGGGACAAATAGAAAATAAAACAACCATACGGATAATTACATGAATGCAAATATTCTAAACATTCTAATTAAATAGCAGAAATTGTTCAGATTGGATAAAAAGGCAAGACATAATATGTGGTCTTCAAAGAAAATTCCTTTAAAGATAAAGACAGACATAGAAAAGGTACTTTCACTCTGGAAAACAGCACGGAGGTTCCTCAAAAAGTTGAAAATAGAGCTACCCTATGACCCAGCAATTGCAATACTGGGTATTTACCCTAAAGATACAAACGTAGTGATCCGAAGGGGCATGTGCACCCCAATGTTTATAGCAGCAATGTCCACAATTGCCAAACTATGGAAAGAACCTAGATGTCCATCAACAGATGAATGGATAAAGAAGATGTGGTATATATATACAATGGAATACTATGCAGCCATCAAAAGAAATGAAATCTTGCCATTTGCAACAACGTGGATGGAACTAGAGGGTATTATGCTTTGCAAAATAAGTCAATCAAAGAAAGACAACTATCATATGATCTCCCTGATAGGAGGAAGTGGAGATGCAACGTGGGGGGTTTGGGGGTAGGAAAAGAATAAATGAAACAAGATGGGATTGGGAGGGAGACAAACCATATGAGACTCTTAATCTCACAAAACAAGCTGAGGGTTGCTGGGGGGAGGGGGGTCGGGAGAGGGTGGTGGGGTTATAGACATTGGGGGGGGGTGTGCTGTGGTGAGTGCTGTGAAGTGTGTAAACCTGGCGATTCACAGACCTGTACCCCTGGGGCTAAAAATACATTGTATGTTTATAAAAAAATTTTAAAAGTATATATAAAAAAAGAAAAGGTACTTTCAGAATGGTAGATCAAATACCTCCAAAAATCAGTCCCTCTATAAAAGCAAAAGGGAATACTTATAAAAGCAAAAGGGAATACCAACAACTGTCAAAATGAACTTTTTACAGCTCTAAAAACTAACCAGAGATGTACAACAATCTGAAGAGCATTTATTGGAGAAAAACAGCTGAACTTTGGTTAAAACAGTGATATTGTGGTATGTTAATGTATTCTACTCCCAACCCCCTCTACTCAGGTCTTCTGAAGCCTTGAAAACCAAAATCCTTAGAATTATAGTAGCCATGAAAACCAGCAGTCCCACAGACACTGGAGGAGAACAGGTTTAGTGCTACCCAAAAGCCCCATCCCTAGGAAATTGTCATTATTTGATCTGTCTGACAGTACCCCGGAAGCCCTCATTCACAGGGATTCTATTTGACTTGAACTGGAGTTCACTCATATAAAGAGCCTTTCTCCTCAAGGCAATTGTCAAAAACAATCAGTAGCAATTGTTTAACACCACAGATGCCTGAGGCAGTGATCACAAGTGAGGCAAAACATAACCTGATCAAAATGCTTAAAAGGTAAAGCTGGAAAATCATGTATATGGGTGTGTGAGGGCTGGGGAGGGTGCTTTCTTTGAGAAGTACAATATATTCTTGGCAATTTAGAAGATCATGCACATGTTCAGGGCTGTGCATGTGCCCAGAAATGACCTGATGAAACCCTAATCTCTCACCTCTAGCTGACCTTGAGGCTTTGGGATAGTTGGAAATGAAAGCTAAGCCAGAGTTGTAAACTCCCTGTAGGGCTTAGAAAACATGCCCCCACAAGCACACAGAAATCCTTAGCAAAGACTGGGAGACTTACTGGCTGAAGACATTTAAAGGATATAGAAATCCAGTCATTAGCAAGTCATTAAGTTAACCAAGAAGAGATTCTGGTGGCCACACATGACAAAGAATACAGACTTTAACTCAGGAGAGTAACTAAACAAACAAAAAGCAATAGCAAACAATGAACCCTGAGAAATAGGGGGAAGTTTGATTTACAGAGTTCCATATTATATTATTTAAAATGTTCAATTTTCAACAAAAAATATTATATACAAAGAAACAAGAGTATGACCCATACACAGGGGAAAAAGCAGTCAATAAAAACTATCTATGAGGAAGCCCAGAAGTTGGCTTTACTAAACAGAGACTTTAAATCACCTATTATAAATATGTACAAAGAACTAAAGGAAATCTTGCCTAAATATCTAAAATAAAGTATGGCAACATGGCAATAATGTCTCATCAAAGAAGGAATATCAATAAGCAGAAATCATTTTTTAAAAGAACCAAATAGAAATTCCAGAGTTGAAAAGTACATGACAGAAATGAAAAAAAATTCACTAGAGAAGCTAGCGGAAGAAAGAATAAGTGAACCTGAAAATATATCAACTGAGATTATCATCCTAAAGAACAGAAAGAAAAAATAAAGAAAAATTAATAGACTCTCAGAGGTCTGTGGGATACCATTAAGCACAACAACATAGATATATTAGGAGCCCCAGAATAAGAGGAGAAATGGCGAGAAAGAATATTCAAAGAAATAATGGACAAAAGCTTCCATAATTTAAAGAATTGCAATCTACACACCCAAAAGCTTAAAGAATTCCAAACTGCATCCATCATAATCAAACTTTCAAAAGACAAAGATGAAGAGAGAATCTTTAATGCAATACAAGAGAAGTGATTCAGCAAGTACCAAAAAATCCTCAATAGGTTTAACAGCTGATTTTGCTTCAGAAACATGAAGCTAGAAGGAAGTGGGATGACTTATTCAAAGTGCTGAAGGAATTTCATAACATTTGCATATTGTACTTCAATTTTTTCAAATAAGTATTCAATTTCAACCAAAAATCCTCTTCAAAAAGGAAGGAAAATTAAGATATTCTTGGATGAACAGAACAGATCATTAGCACAACTTCCCTACAAGATATATTAAAGAGAATCCCTCAGTTGAAATGTAAGGACACCAGACAACAACTCCCAATCACATGAAAACAAGAAAAAAAAAGCACCAGGAAGGAAACTGCATAAATAAATATAACGACAGTATAATTTTTT